TATAATAATGCCATCTCCTCTTTCTTCTTCAACCTAAGATTCTGATACACCATGGCAAACCTTTGTTTCATTTTTTCCTTCTCCATGTTGTTATTTTTATTGCTTTGTCTCATGGTTCGCCCCACTTGTTGTCATACCAATTTCAGTACTGATGAATTGGCACTTCGTTCCTTTAGATTTTCTATGAGAGACCCTTATAATCACTTGGATTATTGGTCCAACTCTTCTTCCATCTGCAATTGGGTAGGGGTTACATGTGATTCTAATTATGGGACAGTGAGGATCCTAGATCTTAGTGAAACGAGTCTTAAGGGAACCTTACCCTCAAAAATTGGAAATCTATCTTTCCTTGTGAAGCTCAACTTTCATCGCAACAACTTTTATGGTGAGTTGTCAAAAGAGTTGTTCTAACTACGCAAGTTGGAAATTCTCAACTTGAGCTATAATGCATTCAATGGAGTAATCCCAACTTGGATTGGGAGCTTGTCAGCACTTCAACACTTGATTCTCAACAATAATGGGTTTGAAGGTGTTATTCCTCCAAGTATATCCAATTTGTCAAAGTTGAAGAGCTTGGAATGCAAATCCAATTTTATAAAAGGTTTCATTCCATTTGAGATTGGAAGACTTGAGAGTTTGAAGATTTTACGCGTATCTTCAAACAAACTTTCAGGAATAATACCTCCAATTTCTAATTATCCCTACTTGAGCAGATCATGCTGTCTTATAACTCCTTGTCAGGTATGTCTAAAATAACATGTGATATAACTTTAGATATCTGATATATCATTCACCAAACTCTCCAGTGGGTGTAAATTAATTCAACATTGTTAAGTTCTTTTAAATGTCTTTTACCTTGAGTTAAATTATTCACTATCTTCCCTCAACTATCGTTATTAAGGGGGTGGGAGATTTTTTTTTAAATGTAGATATATACATATAAAAACTATGGCATTTGTTTTTTTTATTTTTAAATTTTTGTTATCCATATTTTTTAAAAGTAATTTTATGATTAGAGAGAAATAATGTTATTAGATAATAAATGATGTAGAATAATATAAAACTTTTAAAAACTACAAATACACACACTCTCTCTATAATAAAACATATTAACATATTAACTTTACATTCAATTGAAATTTTTTTGCAAATAATATAAAAAGAATTCACATTTTAATGCTAGAATTCATAATAATACATAATTTAATGAATTTAATAATTTTTTCATATTTTTTATGTAATATTATATACACACACATACACGCTACTATTTATGATTCATTTTCAGAGTAAAATATAATAATTTATCTTTAATTTTAATAATATTACTAAAACTACCCTATAATTTTCAAAATATACACTTTAATTTAATGTTTAACTCACTGAAAACAGTTTATCAAAGATTCTAAAAAATTTTTTTGATTAATTTTCATAAAAATTTAAACTTACTGGTACACACTCCACCAAAACTAATAATTTCATTCCTAACTTATAACATTCTCCCCCACTTAGCACTGAAAAACGCAGCAATGCATGACAGAGTGGTGCTCTTTTTATTTTTATATAATCATTTATGCACCAATTCCAAGATTTGTCTATTTATGCTAATGAATTTTTTTGTCCAATAATATTTGGTTGATAATTAACATTGAATAGAGCTCAAATTAGCGGTTACATATAGAACTTTTTTGTTTGATTTAAGAGCTTTATTATTTTTATATCATAATCACAATAACTAAAAAAAAATGCATTCATAAATTTACATTTATTACTTATCTTTCTTTTACCATAATTGTCTCATACATGAGAACTCATAATAATATTGTTTTTTTATTATCATATTGTAGGATATATTCCCAAAACAATTGGTTCTCTCACAAATCTGAAAATAATATATCTAGGTGTTAACAAGTTGTCTGGCCAAATGCCAAGGAATATTGAAAACTTGGCAAAACTTCACGAGCTAGAACTTGGTGAAAATAAATAGAAGGTATACTTTCAACAAATTATAATGTGAAATTTTGTCATCAATTTTGTGTTAATTTTTGAAAAAGTTCATTCAGGAGCTATACCATATAAATATATATGGGCATGTCACTAGAAGCAAGGGTCTACAAGTTGTTATTTAACAACTTTACATAATAAGGATAATCCTGAAATATATCTTCTAAATTTTAAAAGCTAGATTTTCTTAAAAACGATTTACCATACAAGGACACTTGGAGCATTAAAAAACTTTTTCTCATATCTTTACCAAATACGTAGAAAATATTCTCAATATAATTGATGTGTGACAAATTGAAATTTAATATATTTAGGCGTTAATTTTTTCCAGGAAATTTACTAGGTAATTTTTCATCAAATTATGATGTTCTAGCTACTATATTTTCCCCCTTCTTGAGTTGTTCTCTGTGTGTGTGTGTATTCTCTTCCTATTTTTCCTTTTCTTTATAAATTTGTTCGTGTTCTAGATCATCTATTTTTATATTTGAATAATTCTTTTTAATTACTGTTTGCAAATAATGGTTAGAACTAGGGACTTGCTGAAATCCTTTAAAGTTGGATAAAATGAACAATATATAATATGCTGCTGATTTGAAAAAGTTTTACTGCAAGATCAACAATATTTCACATTTTCTATGCCAGCTACCATGATACAACTATAATATTTGGCTTTGCTTCCAGTTTTAACTTTCATTAATTGGTCAATCTAAAGTCCTCTATAATTAATGGTTTTTGAAACATTACTGTTGTTAGAATTCTAGATGTGAGGCAATGTTCAAAATGTGTTCATATTTCATACCAACGACGTCAAGTGTTAATAAAATTATCATTGATTCTCTTAGTTCAATCGCACTCCAACATAACTTTTTTCTTTTTGTATATTGCATGGATCAATCTATTTGTACAAACTAAAAATTGCAACAAGTATATCTTGAAAGAGATATGTACTTATTAAGTATTTTTATTTTAGGAAGACATTAACAAAATGTCATCTAAAGTTTTATATTTAGTCTTTTAGATGTCATATCTTCCTGAAAAATTGTTCAACAACATTGAATATAGTTACAAAGTTTAACATACGTGAAATTTAAATGACATATTATATTTTCCCAACAAAATTTATCCATATATACCATATATTGTATAAAAAACCAATATGATGTATTTGGCCTGTGAATTATATTATGATTCAAGACATTAAATTTATATTGACTGCATGTTTTGTTATTTTGTAATATAATATTTAATTTTTTCTGTTGAATTTATGAAAGGGGTTTTCAGTTTTTGCAACTTTAATTGAAGCACATGTAAAATGATTTTGGATGTACTAGTTAACAGCTTTACTTATAACATTATCTTCTCACGGGATACATTCCAAAAGTCAGTGATCTTTTTTTATTTTTTATATTTTCAACCATCTAATAATTGTATCATTTTAACACCTTTCATGAAACTTTAAAATTACAAAATATGTTTCTTTATATCAAGAAAGATATTGATTCTTTATATCATTATTGTGAGGAACTTGTGTGTACCATACAGCACCATTCAATCTTAAATATTTTTGAAATCATGTGAAGATTAATAATATATATATTCAAAGATTAAAGAATTAAATATATATATATATATATAATATAAAAGAATATTTAAAGCCTTACAAAATGCGTAGAATTGTATAATGATGTTGAATATATAATTTTTTTTATAAAATTTGTCTGAATTGAAAACTTTTAGTTGATTCATATAATCTTTTTCTTTGCTACAAACATCATTATAATTTTAATTTGAAATCATTAAAATGAGTTTAAGCTAATGTCAACTGGAGCAATTACGTCCACAGCTGAACATTCTGAATTCCTTAGTTCTTGATTTTTAATCTATTTTATCTTTCTCCCACCTAATTAGGCTCTATAATTAATCTCAAAGTGTTTCCCGATCATTTCCTAAGCAATTATAAGTTCTCAAAATGAAAAATTAAATGTTAACCCTTGACTATCATTGGATTAATTAATGCACATTAGAACATGTCTCAAGAATAATAGTGCAGCGATGCTGAGTCATTAAAATTTATTATTTTTTAAGTTCAAATTTATTTCTACCTTTGTTTATTACTTCAAACATAAAAGCTTAATTATGAAAGGTATATATGTGGATGTATTTTTTAATTATGACAATAAAAACTTATATTTTGACTCAGTCAACTCTAGAAACGTAAATTGGGGATTAAATTTACATATTCAACATTGGGAACCACGTGCAACAACCTTAATTAATTCATTCCCCATCTAAAGCATCCTTGCTTAATTTGCGTGACACCTATCACATGGCCTGCCCAATTTCTTTTGTCAATTTTGAATTAAGTCCTTATATTTTATTTTTTTTAATCAAGCCATTATTGTTTGATCAATTAGACATGTTAATCCTTGAGGTTGAAATTATTAATGAATGATTAATATTTAAAAAAAATTTTAGAGTTTACAGAAAATTTTATTTAATGCTTGTGTAAAAAAAAAAAAAAAACTTGATTTAGTGCAATGTTTAATTTTTTTTATTTCTATATGTACACAAATTTATGCCTTATGCCTCAAACAAAAAGGGAAGCTTGGGTACAAAATTTCGGATAAAAATCGCCTCTGCAACAATATAGAAAAATCCATGAAATGGCCTGTCACGCCCCAAAAATAGGGATGACCGGCACAGGATGTGAACCACATCATACATCCCGTAAGCCACAAATTCAAGGATTATTTCATTTAATTAAAATATACTCAATTTTTATACTAACATTTTAATACTATTGATATTAATCAGTATAATAATTATTTTAACATTTTGTAAAAATTTTGATAGAACCTCTTCTGTGAATAAGATCTCTCAAAAATTCTGTATCACAAAAGTTTTCCTTAAACATTTTATCAATCAAGAGCATGGCTCCTTCCAGCTAGCAGATGAAATGTATAATAAACAAGTTATGTGGAGCACCTAATCATATATCTCATGACATAATACATAAATTTTATCTTTACATCCATAAGACATATTTACAGAACAAGCCTCCATTCTGTTCTGCAAACACCCATCATTGGTAAGCAAGATGTACAGCATCAATTATGCTATCTGAGACCAAAAATAATTTTCCAGTGAATAACGTCCCAACAATAAATAAAATGAAAAGTTTGAAATAGTTATGTAAGTTAAAGAGACACCAATTTCCGTAAAAATTTAATAAACTACATAATAAAATGGCTCTGTAAAATTTCAAATAAAGTCTCAAATCATTGAACCATCATAGCAAATGATAATTTCACTTGATTTCAAGAAAGCACATAAATAAAATAAATATTTATAAACAAATTACTAAATAAAAACCAATAGAATATGAAATCTTCAAACGATTGGATTCATAAATATAGGGACTTATCAGAATAATTAACAAACATGGATACACAATCCACGAGGGTAACTAACCAAACGTGGCTTATGCCACGAAAACAAACGTGGACACACACAGTCCACAAGGGTAAGTAATCAAATGCGGCTGAAGCCACGAAACAAACGTGGACACACAGTCCACGAGGGTCATGCTAACCAAACGCGGCTTGAAGCCACGAAACAAACGTGAGTACGATGCTCACGAATAACCATCCCTCCGTTCCACGTGCGTTGGCCATCGCACGGGGCTAGCACCTCCTATAAACACCCTGCTAGCTAGGTGTACCATGGCGCGCCAAGGGCTAACGGAACTGCCATTAGCAACCAGTGTTCTGTACAAAGTCCCCCTTTTTAAAACCATTTTTCAAACATGCGAGAAATCATCACTTTCAAGATACAGTTCTCATTCTCAAAACCAAACTCGCATGAATACTTTTAAGCATTAAAACTTTCCAGAATCAAATTTCATATCCAATGCTCATGCTTGCATTTATTGAATAAAAAAATGTTCAACTTCAAACTCGCATAAATCATTCTCTGTATCTCTCCAATATTTGATAGAATAAAAATATCATAATCAAAGTTCAAACTTAATTTCATTGATCGAATAGCATTTTAAATTTGGTAAAGTTAATTTATCAAAATAAAGTAATGTTAATCAATAAATATTCAATAATCGCATTAACGCTATAAAATGATTTCCAGAAAAATAAAATCCCACAATTAGAATTCAAACTTCTATTTACTGATTAACCAAAATGATCAATTTTGGTAAAATAATTTCACAAAATAAAATAATTTAATCAACAAAATGTCTCATAATCACATTGTTGTCGTAAAAATAATTTGCATAAAAATGTAATATTTAAATAAAAGAGATTTCGATGAAATATCAGTTGGGACGCTATCCACTTACCTGAAGTGTGCCCGAGTACTAAAGTTAACTTCTTAGAACCCAATCAAACCTTCCTTCCACTAATTGCCCTATCTAATATAAAAAGAAACTTCAATGGCATAATCAGGTTTGATAAACTCTTCCCAACTATTGTCAAGTGCAAGCAACAAAACTTAATTAATATTATATATACACATAGCATAATTAATCACTCTAAATTCCAAGTTCTCCTATCACACTTTCTATCAAGCAACTCAAAGGCATTCCCAAATCAAATTTTTAAACATTATCATTTATAATATCATCCATACAATTTCATAGAATGCAACTTGTCTCAGCACAGTTTCATACTCAAAATTCTTCATACCATTCAAGTTAAATCCATGAACAATTAATATCCAAACTAAGTATGTACTCATAAGAGTTAATGAAATTTCAAAAAAAAAAATCATATCCAATCACAACTCAGTATTGCACTAAAATACAATCTCCTAATAAACTTTTTGTCAAAATTCCAAAACTACATTACTTCCAATATTCCACAATAAGGCTTCTTTTCCTTCTTAATATATGTATGTATATATATATATATATTTAACATTCACATCCCTTATCACATAGTTCATCAACAACCATTTATTTCCATGATTTCCAAGTTTCCCGTACAAACGTCATGCCCAAATTTCCTTTGCAATCTTCATTATAAGTTTATAGAGTAATAACACTCAAATTGAACATACTAATTGCAATGACCAATGAAGTTAAAATATATATATATATATATAACCCAAGTAAAGTTTTCTCGTCATTATGTCAAACACCTTCCAAACACTAATTCTTAAGCCCAAACCATACTTCTTACTCTTTGATTTCATTTCCTAAAGATTTCCAATATAAACATTTAAATCAAACAACCTCCCAAATCACATATCCTCCAACAAAAGTACCAATCTTAAATCCATAGGATTCAAATTAATTACGTACCATCTTGGTCCAACATTAAAATTTCATCTTGAATCAACCTCTCATCCATAATCAAAAATTCACGACAGCAGAAAAATTGAAGCTTCATTATTTCAATCCTAAGATACGAGCACCCACAGAAATGATGAGAGAAAAGTAGACTCAAAATTTCTTTACCTCCGTTCACACTGGCAGAGACAGGGAGGAAGGGACGAAGGCAGATATAGGGGAAAAATAACAGCCATCGAAACAGACCTCCTATAGCCACTTGAAAGGATGCTGTAAACAGGGAGAAAATTTTAAACTCCCTTAAACTAAATCAGAGACGGGAAGCACGAAAGGAGGAGGGAAAAACAAACAGTGGCACACAAAAATAGTTAACCACGAGAACTAGGGAAAGGAAAGCTCACTGTGGGACTTTGCATTAGCAGCGGACGGAGCTGTCGCACCTATCAACAGTGACGATTTGGCAGCTAGCAAGGCTAATCGATCTATGATGCGAAACAGGGGAGATAATGAAGAACTCCAGCATTCCCAAGCAGCAGAACAACAGAGGAAGGAGAGGAAAACTCCTCGTTCACGGTAGCTGGCGTCAACCCGTAGGGAGAACGGAGGAGGTAGATCGGAGGAGCTGAGGATGTGCTAGAGGGTTCTGGAGCTTTCGAAGAAAAATGAAAAAAAATGGGAACGGAAGAAACCGACATGCCTTTTATCTCCGTCTTTCTTTAATCTGGCTTGTGGTTTTTTCTTTTACCGAGGGGTAAACTTGTAATTTCACCCAAACACTGGAGCAAAATTAAAGCCTCTCTCTTGCACAAGACAGATTCGAACCCAGGACCTGAAGGATTAATTGACAGCACAACTACCACCAAACCAACAATCCTTCTTGTCTAAATATTTCCAGAATTAATACAAATAAAATTAAAATACATTATTATATATTTTAAATTTTACTTAAAATTCCTGGGTATTACATGGCCAGTAATTTGACCATGCATATGGGCTCCAAAAATCAAACCAAACATATAGAGGAACATAAGTACAAAACTTCAGCTCAAAATCCCCTATATAAGTTTAACCAAAAAAATCCTCAAAGTTGTCTACCAAACAAGATCATAACAGAACCAAACTTATCATTTGTGAAACCAATATCATGAATTTTGATTCCCTTTCTATACATTACGGACCCCAAGTTGAAGCAAAGACGAACACCAAGATAGCAATCACAATAAGAGATAGATCGTTCAACATTATATATATGACACTCCATGGATTTTTAAACATAATGCACAAGGAGCAATAAGCATCTAAAGTAACAATCACATACGAAATTATCGCACCAAAAGTAGAAGAAATTTTACGCTGACAAGTTCGACCACCAAGAAATCAAGAGGAGTTTAAAAAAAAAAACTAGGAACAAATTAACCCCTTCCCAGTCTTGGTCGGTCAGCCCCTTCTCAGTCTCTTCCCCTATTTTCCTATTCTCTTCATTCCCTCCTTCATCCCAAGACCCCCTATGTTTCATCGTCCCTTCTGTATATAGATCCAGAGCTTTCATGCATAGATCACCATATTCTCAATCTCACCTGGTTCAGCAACGCTATATTTCCTCTCCTGCAAAGTCATCTTCTTCAACACCTGTCTCTGATATTTTCTCTTCTTACTAAATTTCCCATCTAATCAGCAAAGTAAAGCACAGAGTTGCTTTCTGAGGTATGCGTGTGAGACGGATCAATCAAAAGAGAAGAGCGACGGGTTTCTGTGTTCCTTTTCCTTATCTCTGCTGCGCTCTCATCGTGACAGAAGGCTGGTGATTTTGTTGTTTCTAGGATGTTAATTTTTCTTTTTTCTTTTTTAATAAAAATTTATTGTTAATTTTTCTTTCAGCTCATATACCAGAAGGCATTGGAAAGTTGGTTGTACTTCAAAATTTACGTCTTGACATTAATAATTTACAAGGTTTTTTTTTTCAATTTATGATATTCTAGCTTCTATATTTTATGCTTTTTTTAATATATTTTGTCTTTGTTACTATGAAAAATAATGCATTTTCTCTTCCTATTTTTCTATTTTTCCTTTTGTTTATAATTTTTTGTATGTGTGAAATTTTCATCTTCTAAAGTTCTTTATGCATAAAAATAAGTATTAAGTTATTTTTAATTTTAGGGATACTAGTTAGGATGTCTCATGGATCAGCATTTTGTTTGTTTGGAACAAAGAAAGCTCGAGTTGGAGTGAGGAATAAAAGGATTTGCCACCAAAATTTGTTCTCTAATCTCACGAATAGCAATGCCTTTCTGGTCAAAATATAGTTTATTAATATATTAGAGTTGAAATCTAATTATTGAGTGACAATATTAATGTCAACATCAATATTAAAATATAAACTCTATTGTAAACGAGAATTTTACCAAATTTAATTTTAAAACAGAATTAAATGCTATCATTATATATTAGTGCAGTGCATATAAACTTTGTTTATTTATAATCATTTTATGTGAGATTAATCTGTAGTTCACGTTCATTCTATATAAATTTATTGAAGCGGTTCGGCACAAGTGCAAAATGTTACAACCACAGCTTTTTCTTGTTCCCTTTTTACAGTTGATTGGACATCATCACAATCAATTTTCTAATAACTCTACCTGTTATTGCATTATGAATTCATGATTTTAGTTATTGTTAATTTTAATCATGCCGGTGGTTGGAATGTCTTCTCTTCTCAAGCATCTAAATTCATTTTTCTTCAAATTATAATGTTCTAACGAGCAACTTCTTTTTTTAGATTATTTTCATAGAATTACTGTGAACAAGGTGCATTTCAATTTTCATTTTCACCTTTTTCTATAAGTTTGTGTATTCGTGAAATTTCCTATTTCATTAATTATTTATGCTTAAAAATAAGTCTTTAGTCATTTTCAATTGCAGTGATGATAGCTAGGGCACATCTTCTCATTTAGCAAGCCGATTTTGCGGAAGAGATTTTTTGCAACACACACACACGCACACACATGATGTTGGTATCCAATGAAAATTTTTATTGATTTCTATTTTTTTTCCAATTGTCAATATATATATAGTTTTGATTTTAACTAACATTGAAAATTTAATTATACTTCCAACAACTCATAATGCATTGCTTTCACATTTTTTTAGAAACAACTACATTGCTTTTCTTGGATTTTGTTCCTTTCATCTGGAATTTATGAACCATAACACAATAAATATTCTTGAAGAATATCAAGTTATCAAAGTTAAATACTTTGTGCCGAACAAATTTATTATATTCATTGATTTGCTAAAGGTTATGATATTATCATAGATGATTGCTCCAGAATTTTGTTCCCAGTTCTACATAAGCCAATTTTGTTGCCATATAGGTAGAAATATTGTAGGAGATACTCTAAAAAATAATCATCATATGAATGTGAAAATTATATACTTAATTACATGTCTTTAGTTTATCTTGTCTCATCATCAAAGATATTAAAAATGCACATTATGATATATATATATATATATATATCATATCAAACAAATATATCATAACGTGTTATTGTCATATGTTCAAACCATTTCAATGCATTGCTTGAGAGTACGACTTCTCTACCCAATATGTTCATAATAGTCCTTCCAGACTTATTTGCAACAATTTTTTTATGGAAAAATAAGTGGTACTTAAACATGTTCATTTTAAAAAGATCAATTAATATGCAGCTCCTTTAATCATTCTCAGGTTTTTTTTTTTTGGCCATGGATCACCTTTTCTTGATGTGTTACATGTTATTATTAATGAATGTGGATATTAACATTAATACCATATTAAAGGCTTATAAAATAATTTATACATTTGCCAACAAAAGATATTATAAATCCGTGTGCTAAAATTTTTGTTTTTAAGCAAGAATAATTATTTAGCTTTCGTTCACAAAATAGGTTAAGTGCACTTTAGACTTATTGTCAAGAGTACTCTCTCTCTCTCCCTCCCACTATTCTAACAGAGAAGTACTTTTTTCCTCTAGAAAGTTAGTTTTAAAAATGAAATAAAGAATACTATGTAATGCCATCGAATGTCTAAAACTTATTACTAAGTTCAATATCATTTCCGAAAAGCATTATTCTACGAATTACATAGAAAGTAGCAGTTAAATGTCCTACGCTTTTGGGAAAAAAAATAAAGAAAAATTTATTAACCAGATTTCAAGTCTTCATTGATCTCTTTTTATCACTTCCCACTTGAAATACAAACAAAAATATTTCAACACCACCAAAATAACATTAGAGATTTTGATACATTTTTTATGCCTTGAAACTCATTTGCAATATGTTTTTTTAATTGTTGTGTTGGGGAAAATATTCCAAGGAGCTTTGAAAACTTGACAATGCTGGAAGTACTGGATCTTTCTCAAAATAACTTGGAAGGTATGCTTTCAACAAATAATAAGTGCTCTTCTTCATCTTTCCTTTGATAAGATATTTTATGCATATGCAATCATATAATTGCGTTAGTACATTTTGTTTTGTTGCTATATTGCAAGATGCATTCCTAACACAAATTGGTGATGTCGCAAGGCACTTTTGTTTTTAATTTTTTTAACTTTTATTAAGCTTTTTGGCTATATCAAAAGGCTTATAAAATATCATATTATAAATGGCAGTTTAACACCAAAATTTATTTTAAATCCCCACTGCACCATTTTTTTCCCTTTTGCACACAATTTTATCTTGAAAAACATCATAGTATAAATGCAGTTTGAAAAAAAAAAAACTAGATACTAGATTACAAATCTATAGAATATTCTAATTTCAGTATTTAAATCCAATAAAATAGATGTGACTTATCCATGTTTTGTATAATTTTTATATTTTGTTTTAAATTTTTTGATGTTTTACTGGGATTTTTATATAATCTAAAAATATATAGAAGATATTGCTCTGCAAGCCTTCTTACACTTTTTATTCTTTAATATTGCTCTATATATTTTATTGAGCTTCCTAGACATTTTTTTAATCATTTGATATTTTCTTTTATCTTTTAATGAAGTTCAATAAAAGACAAACACAGTTTTTCTGTTTTTGTAAAAATATAGTTATCCATCTCTATTTCCAACAGACATTTTTTGTTGATTTTTAAGTAGTGTCAATGCAACTTCATATCTTTCCAATATTGTATACATCATGTGAAGAAAAATAAAATAATTGCAAGGAACCTAGATATATGGATCATCACCGTTCAATCTTAAATATTGGATATTATATTCAAAATGTTTATATATATATGCCTTTAGAACAATAAAAGTGCTACTCATTTTTGTTTTGATGATCTCTTATCATGCATCAGTACTAAAATGAGTTTTTTTTTTTTTCAAGTACTATGCACATTGTAAGAAATTATCTCCATGTTTATGTTTGATACTCGAAAAAATATTTTTGTAAAGAAAATGAGAATGTACCTAGAAAAAAAGAACAGATAGGTGCACCTTTTATTTTCTTTCCAGAAAAAAAAAATTTACTTGCCAAACATTACATATATTTCCAAGAAAAAATCAATTATGTGTGAGAATAATGCCTTGGCTGTCATTCAATTAACTGATGCTGATCATATATAACATATCTAAAAAAGGTTTACATGTTTGGAAAACTT